ATAAAAAGATGAAGGAAAAAAAGAGATTCTCTCATATTGTTGAAGTAGATATATATATATTTAATTTCAATCATTCCATTATATTACTATTGCACCAATATGTTTTGGCCATATTCCTGCTGATGGACATTTGGATTAGTCCCTGATCTTTTTGTTTTGTTTTTACTGTTATCACTTGTTTCCACTAAGAACATTCTTGTATGACTTCTGGGGTATGTGGGAAGTTTCTCTTACGTATCTATCCTGAAGAAAAACTGCTAACTATAAGGTATATGGAATATTCAGTTTTATAATACAATATAAAAGTGCTTCTCCACATGGCTTTATCAACTTAAGATTCCCATCTGTAATTTTATGAGCTTTTGTTGATCTGCAGTCTTCCAATTCTTAATACTGTTAAATTTCTTAACTTGCCAAATAAGTTATATAAAATACTTTATTATCATTTTCCTAATTATTAAGACTGATTATCTTTTAATATATATATATATTTTTTTTTTTGATTTTTTTACAGAGAGGAAGGGAGAGGGATAGAGAGCTAGAAACATTGATGAGAAACATTGGTCAGCCGCCTCCTGTACACCTCCCACTGGAAATGTGTCCGCAACCAGGTTACATGCCCTTGACCTTTCAGTCCGCAGGCCTCCGCTCTATCCACTGAGCCAAACCAGTTAGGGTTGATTATCTTTTTATGTACTTATTAACCATTATTGTTTCCTCCCATGAAATGACTACCTGTCCATATTTTGCCCATTTTTCTACTAGATTATCTTTTTCTTAAATTGACTCATAAATGCTCTTTATTCTTGATACTAATCTTTGGTCAGTTATGTTCAAATTTCACCTGGCTCCTAATGTCTTTTTATTTTCTTTAAAGCATCTTTTCATGAGCAGATTTTAATATAGTCAAATTTTATCAATATTTTATAATTAGTGCTGTTTTTGTCTTAAGGAACCCTTCTTTACCGATGGTCGGAAGGACATGCACCTGACCTGGGAAAATGTAATCTTCACATTATCAAACTCTTTGAGGAACTTCAGCTAAATAGAAGACAGAGGGGATCATGTTAAAGGAGAATTTTAATGACTTTCAACTACTTTTATTTAAAAATTTAAAGAGCATAACAAGTAAAGAGAATCCTACCAAAACACCACTAATTTATCTTTTTGGACAGAGCAAAGAAGGACCAAAAATATATATACATCCTTCCTTCATCACTAGGATATCAATAATATTTTGAAAGTAGTTTTGCTGGAGAGCCAAAGTGCAAGTAAAAGTACATCTAAGAGAAAATCTACACATGAAAATCTACAAATTCTGCCTGGACAAGAGGTAATAGCATCAGGAAGAAAACTGGGTAAGGACACAGGATACCCCAAGTGTTAAACTGTTAATATGCAGGAAAAACTTCCTTGACATGGTGGCTTCAAAAATTTTACCTGCATATCCACTATACTAGCTCTCCCTTCTTACTCTTCAGATTGATGAATTGCTTAATTGGTAAAGTCAACTTATATACCATGCCTTTCCCATTTCCACATTTGCAATGGGGAAAAAATATGCAACTAATACCAAGCATTAAAGTACAAAACAAAGAAACACCAAGACCAATAACAACAAAAACAATGTTATTAAGGGACAAATACCTGACCTGGATGATCAATCCCCTTCCTTGTTTAATGACAGGAAAAAAAGCCAGAAAGAATCAAACTATTTTCTCACAAAAAAAGATACTAACAAAACTATAATGAATCCAGGCAATGGCTGCCAGAGGTTAGATTTGGGGGACTATAAATACAAAGGAATAGTACAAGATAGTTTTGGAGGGATAATGGAATTATTCTGTATCCCGACTGTGGTGGTTATACAAATCTACAAATGTGTTAAAATTTATAGAATTGTCCATACCAAAAAGGTGAATTTTGCTGTATGATTTAAAAATGTTTTAAAGGATCTGTATACAAGTATTTATTAATTTTTAAAATATATTTTTATTGATTTCAGAGAGGAGGAGGGAGAGATAGAAACATCAATGATGACAGTCATTGATTGGCTGCCTCCTTCACACCCACTACTGGGATTGAACCCACAACCCAGGCATGTGCCCTTGAACAGAATCAAACCCGGGACCCTTCAGTCCACAGGCCAATGCTCTATCCACTGAGCCAAACCAGGTAGGGTTATATACAAGTATTTATAGAAGCTTTATTTACATTCTTCAAACACTGGAAATAACCAGAAGTCCTTCAAAGAAAGAACAGCTGGATAAACTGGTAAATCCATATAATGAAATAGTACTTAGTAATAATTAAAAAGAACAAAGAACTGATAAACAAAACAACAAACTGCAAAGATAGCATGCTGAATGAAAGAAGCCACTCTTAAAAGATTACAAACTGTAATTTCTGACATTATGGAAAATACTTCCTAGAGACAAAATTAGTAAATTAGGGTTAATGTAAAGGAGAGTGCTTGACTAGAAAGCAGCAGCAAAAGGGAATTTACAATTTTACTATATGTAAATTTAATAAACAAGTTAAAAAGAATATAGAAGAGGAAGGGTCCCTAAAAATAATCATTATAGGAAGCAAAGATATGTTGTGAATTAAATTCACTAGGCATCAAGATATTCAGGTAAGCAATTAACCAACTTAAGTATATGGGAGCTAGATGTGAATATAAGCAAACATGTCACTGAAGAATTCAGAACCTCAAAAGTCACAAAATCCAACACAGAGCATATCATAACAATGTCATGGAAATTCAAATTTGAGAAATTCTCCAAGTGCAGAAAAAAAAAATGGTAAGAACCAATGGCACTGAAAGAATGTTGAAAGATTCAACATTCTTTGACATTATTAGAAAAAAGAAAAGGAAAACTAAGCTTCTGGACAAAGAATTAAGAAAAATTATTATAGAGACCCATATTGGACACATTCTACATAGAGGTCCATATTGAAAGAAAAAAAATCTTTTATGCACTCAGAAATAGTTGTTTCCAAAGAAAGGAAATATAGCCTGGCCTCAGACATATTTTATATGTAATAGAAATATAAAACTATAAACAAAGAGAAAAGACTGTAACCTAAAAATTTATATCCATGTAAACTATTGTTCACCTATTATAGTCAAAGAAAGGCATTTTCTTGCATTTAGAAGGGCTTAATTAAAATATTATCAACAAGTCTTCCTAAAAAATAATAAAATAAGCTAAATAAGATCCAAAGTAAATATGCCAAAGGTAAGTTAGACATAAAAAGACTGGCTATAAACAATAAAACAATTTAAATGTAAAATTTTAAAGTTCAAATAACTGTTGAATGTGTAATTACAAAACAGTATGTAATGGTCATAATTCCTGAGATAGTTATATAATCATTAAAAAACACCCTAGAATTAAATTTTCAGACCAGGTAGGAAAGAATTGTGGAAAGCATAAAAAGGTGTCCTCTCCTTAGCATTAGAACAGTTGATAGCTATTTTCCTTGCCTTGCATCTTTCTCCGGAGTAATCTCATCCCACTTCCGTGGAATTACCTGTTTAAGAACAAGAAGGTTCCAATCTGACTTCCACATCTGTTTAATCAAAGAGATTTCACTGTCTATATTTCTCAAAAGCATCTTAATATCAGCACACTCTAAAACAAAATCTTCACTTGCATAACCACCTTTCATACCTCAAATCATTTCTCCTGGTCCATTATTTGAAAGGGCAGTTACAAAAGGTTAAGCAGGACCTTAAATATTAAATAGTCTATTTGCTATTCCAAAACAAAGTTTGTAACAATTCAGTTCAGGAATCACTAACAGTAAAATTATGGAGGTGCTTGATTAAAAATGTACTATTACCAGGTCCCTTATCAAATATATCAGATTGCCTGAGGTGATCTCAAGAGTCTGCATTTTCAAGAAGCACCCTAATTGATATTTATGTGTCTTAAAATGTATATGAACTACTGCTCTAGGATCATTTCAAATGCTTTACCAGTAAGAAATGTTAACTGAAATAGTTCTCTCTTGCAAATATCAAGAAGCCACAAGATGCTTATGTTCACACACAGATAGGAATCAACTTTAGTTCCTGTTTATTCTTAATTTCTACATGCAAGCTTTCCATAGCAACCATCATAATTTACTGAAGCTTCTAATTTTATCCCTGATTCACTTGAAAATAACTTTAAATGTACTGTCTATGGAAAAATCTGTTATTTTCTTACTCCATCCATCCATTTCTCCTAAAATTAGCATCCTCTCCCACATCAATTTTCTTTTGTAATGTGAAACAGAAAACATCCCCCAGCCTATCTTGCTATGTGCCCTCTGATCAAATCTGGCCAATATGATACAATATGAACAGTGGGTAAGTTCTTGAGAAACCTCCTAGTGTCTCAACAAAGGTAAATAACCGAAAAAATAAAATTCTGCAATCTTACATCTAAAGCCCCATATCTTCCCAACTCTTAGCTGCCTTCCTCAAGTCAAATTCTTATTACATTTTGTACAAGGGTTCTAACTGCATAATTATAAAAAAGCTTCAGGAGTTTTAGGAAAAAATATTTTACTTCTCAAAAATACAAAATAATATTCAAATATTTATTTAAAAACTGTTTGTTTCAAACTCCAGACGTTATTCCCATAAAAATAATGTTTAAGATTAGAGTCCCTCGCTAGTTCTCAAGCCTGACTAAATATAAATGCAGAATTCACCGACTTTTGATAAACACGACTCAATGACCTTTATCACCTGATGAGTATGAAGAACAAATTCAGAGTAAGAATACCCTTGAAAGCAAATTCAGAGTAAGAATACCCTTGAAAAGAAAAAAGGAAATATTTCAAATATGGCATCACATGTCTTCAAGGATCTTTGTTGTTTCTTAAAACTAAGTGATTGTTTTCCTTCAGAGTAAAATTCTTACACTCAAAATGTAATATTAAAACGCATTAAATACTCATCCCCAATAAAAAGACCCTACACACAAAAATTACTGTACTCTTACCCTACGCATGGCTTCCTCCTCTTCTTGACGCTTTTCATAATGTGCAAAGTCATCAAAGATTGAGGTGGTATGCTTGAAGGTAGCGATTATTTTAAGCACTTGCTTAGCTTTTTCTAGGGGTACCTCTTGAGTGTCCCTTGAATTGGTAACTGGTTTGTTGTCATTATTTTCTAAGCGAATATGCCGTAATTGGTTATTGGGAACATCTTTGACAAAGATCCACTTAACTTCAAATTTGCCCTTCCACTTATCCTGAGACCAGACGCCAGCATATGCATTATAGTCCACAACAGACTTCATTTCAGCCACTCCACAAAAATGTCCACTGCCATTCACACTGAAGAGTAAATAGAGTGGGCCTTTCCCATTCAGAGAACGGTAAGCTGCATCCAAACGCTTATTACCATGTTCAGTACTACACCAGATAGAGTACTTAATGGAACGGTGAATGTCATCCTCAGAATAGCTTTTAATTATAAACACACGTCCATTTTTCAGGTTCCAGTCAAAGTCTTTGGGATTGTAGTTGTTTATGGCCTTTAGCTTTTCCAGCACTGGATGCACTTCAACACTAGAAGGTGAAGCATTGATAGAAACAACACCTAAACCAAAGTTTTCACCACCAGCTCCATTGTTCTGGTTGAAGCCGCCTCCCCTATTCCGAGGAGCTACCCAACGGTTCTGCAGCTGCTGCTGTTGGGGCTGCACTTGGTGAGGCTGAGCCTGTGGCTGAGGTCCTTGTTGCTGCTGTGGTTGTGGTGGTTGAGGCTGCTGTTGAGGCAGTTGGCTTTGCACCAATGGTGGTGGTTGAATTAATGGCTGAGGCTGCTGGATTATAGTTTGAGGAGGCAGAACTGGTTGGGTTGGTGGCGCCTTTACCACAGACCCCTTTTCATCCCAAGTTCCAATATTCATATTGTGTTTTATAGGAGGTGGTGGCACAGCGGAACCCCCAATTCCTACATTGCCCTTGGGTTTAAGTTTCGGTTGAGGTTTGGCAGGCTTTCTGGCAATGGCGGCCCAGGAGGTTGGTTTAGGTGCTGCACTGCTAACTGGGGGCACACTATTGGTTGCAATGCTAGTCATACCACTGCTGCTCAAAGCTGTACCTACAGTTTTTGTCACTGCAGCTGTCAGGTCACCACCAATTTTCAATCCGGTCATGCCTTGCTCAATACTGCTGATGCCGGGCACCTTACTCAAAGTATCATTGCCAAATCCAGCCTGTCCATCAGTAATAGCTCTCCCAAGAGAACTAGGTGGATAGCCATAACTGCTACTATAAGCAGAACTTTGCGTTGATTGTCCCTGAGATCCACTTGTCCCCCACGTAGAGAAATCAGCATTACCAGGAAAAAAGTTAAATCCATGCTGACCAAGAAATGGAGGGGTATTTCCTAATGCCCCAGGTTGACTAAACACACCATCTGGTATATAATGATGTTCTCCATTACTCATTTGTCCATAGGTTGTCAAATATGGCATAGGTTGGTCTCCAGCCGTGGACCATGCTGCTTCCCCAAGAGAATATGGAAATCCAATGGATGGAGCATAGTAACTAGGCATATATGGATCTGACATTGGTGGATAGCTGTTACTCTGGAAAACAAAAGATCATAATCAAGAGCGAAAGTTCCTTTGAAGTGTAAGGGGAGAAATCTGAAAGATGAAAATTAAATAAATTTAGGTAAATGAAAAACAAATCCACCTGTTCTAAATATGCAAAATTAAAGTTTTAAACCTAATCTTATCAACAGAAAAATTTGCTGATGAGTATTTTTAATTTAAAATTGCAAGTATTTTGTTAAAGAGCTAGGTGTGGGAGATAATTATTTTTGTTTAAAGAATCTGGTCCTCTACCACAATTTAAAAATACTGTACTTTCTACAAAAGACTGATTTCTAAATTTGCTCACACAAATTGATCATTTATAGCCAGCTTTATTTTAAGCAACTGAAGTATGCAAACAGGAATAATCAAGAATTAAACAAGCCTGAAAACTATGCCAAAAATAGAGAAATTATAGCATATCTTAATTACAGAATCTAGTTCAGCAGTTAAATTTTGAAATTTCATTATTAAAAAATTAGAGAAATAGACTCTGAGAATTAAAGATTCAAGATTATACTTATAGCATGATTCAAATTTGTTTTTGTTTTGCCTCACTTAATTTAAAATTAAAAAACAAACAAATCCTTTGTATGGTTTCTTAACGGTAGGTGCCTCTTTTCTTTGTATTAGATTTTCCAAATTTTACACAATAAACATCACATTCCTGATCAGAATTTTCATTTATAAATTGAGTTCCTGCAATTTCCTCCCAGAATTACTGCGATTACATTAACTTTTATCTTGAATATTAACTAATTATTCAGTGATTTGCCAAAAACCAAGGTAGTAAATTCTATTTTTAAAAACCATGTTACTAGATTTATTTATTACTAGAGGCCCAATGCATGAAAATTCATGCACTTGGGGGGGGGGGGGGATTCCTCAGCCTGACCTGCCCCCTCTCAGTTTGGGAGCCCTAGGGGTGTGAGGCAACCTGGAGATCAGGGGAAGGTGACAACCCCATCACACCCCTGATGCAAACACTGCCTGCCCTGGTTACGAGACTCGGGCATCCCTGGGCAGCTGGGCAGCTGCCATCCGAGGCTTGCCTGTTACTCAGGCTGGCCCTGGGCAGTTGGGGGGACTTAGGGGACTGGGGGAGTCTGGAGGCAGGCACTTGGAGCGGCTGGAATTGCCTGGGGTCAGGCCCCACCATGCCAAGTGCCTGCCACCTCAGAGGAGGGGCTGAGGGTACTGGGCACCACCATCTTATGGCTGTAGACATCGCCATCTTTGAGGGCAAGACAACAATTAGCATATTCCCTCCTTATTGGCTGTGGGCACCATCTTTGTGAGGGTGTGGTGGTCAATTAGCATTTTCCCTCTTTATTAGATGGGATTAATTTTAACCAAATGCTTATTAAATGCCTAAACTGTGATATAAGATACCCATTGTAAAAGAAAACCTACAGCTAAAGACACATAACATAGGGGAGTGAATAAATTCCCCATAAGGGAAGAGTAGGAGAGCTGGGCTAAATATGGAGGTAATCAGTTTCAAAGTTTTAATTTAGAATGTCAGCAGTGAAACCAATATTCAGTAAGTTCTTATCTGGATGTAGGAATGGAAAAGCAGACCAGGTAGAAAGTTTTTAAATTCACTTTTCATAGTAAAGTGTTGGCAAAATTATACTTATAACTTATTTTGAATATTCTTATTTCACTTTCAGAGACGCTGAATTTTGCACAACAGTTATATATCAAGTTCCTAATTTATCTATACCTAAAGTGTAACTCAGGGGTCAGCCAACAAAAGGTCAAAGAACAAATTGTATTTTAAGCTTTGCAAGACAAATAGTCTCTAGTTGATGCCACAAAAGTTCAACTTTTGACAAAGGCTGCTAACTCAAGGGCTTTCTCAAAGCAGCATGGACTGTATTTGGTCCCTGGGCCAAAGTTTTTTGTCAATTCAGTTTTAACTGATTCTGTAACTTGTACAGATTCCTAAAAAAAAGGAAGTCTCCAACCTCTATTACTAAAATAATGTGGAACAAATGTTTGCCAATGGTTACCTCTAGGGCTGGAATAGACCCAAACCCTTTGAAGGCTCTGATTAGATATCTTGTCAATTATTTTTAAAATCATGATTTTTTTCTTCTCCCTAAATTAGTGATTTGGCCAAAATAACACGTTTAAATTACTTTAAAATGTGTCCCATTATTCACATCTGCCTATCAAATAAACAGCTCAGGCTAAATAAGCAGAGAAAGCTATCTGCAGGGCTATTACTATCCCTTACAGTTGCTAAGAATACTATATAATAAAACTGTAATATGCAAATCAACCAAATGTGGAACTACCGGTTGCTATAACACACACTGACCACCAGGGGGCAGAGACTCAATGCAGGTGCTACCCTTGGTGGTCAGTGCACCCCCACAGGGGGAGCGCCAGTCAGCCTGAAACTGGGCTCATGGCTGGCGAGCCCAGAGGCGGTGGCGGTAGCCTCTCCTGCCTCCACTGCCAGTGGGCTGTAAGAAGCAAGGGGTCCTGGACTGTGAAAGAGATGTCCTAAGCCAGCAGCTGGACATCCCCCAAGGATTCTGGACTGCAAGAAGGTGAAGGCCAGACTCAAGGACAATCCCCTTGAGGGGGCTTTGTGCACCGGGCCTCTAATATTGGATAAATGGCCTTTCTCCAGTTTATCAAATGCAACCATTTATTTTCCAGTTCTCTCAGTAGTTTTAATTGAATGAGATGTTTCTTCCTAGCTCCAATGAAAGTAACTTAATCTCCTTTCAAAAGGCAAGGCTTTTGTTTGGATCTAGTAGAAACAAAATTGTAGGAAACTAAAGTCTGGGGGGAAAAAACATGGCCAATACATTTTGAATAACTAGTGCTTTGATAATAATTGGAAATATTTTTTAATATTTTGCTAAATTTAAAATTAACTTTTAATTGCTAGCTAAGTAGTGGAATGTACCTTGGTAGGGGAGAAAACAAAATTTCTACTCCTGATAATGGAAAATAACTCAACACTTACTTTCCCCCCCCACATTTTACTTAAAACATGATTATGAGACATAATCAATTTTAGTTTATATAAACTAATAGCTTTAAAATAGTTTATTCATATTTCAGAAAGTGACCAATAGTAGTGAATTTTTTTTTAATGTTTTTATTGATTTTAGAGAGAGGTTAAAATAAAAGGAGAGAAACATCAACTGAAGAGAGAAACATCAATCATCTGCTCCTGCAGGCCCTGCACTGGGAATCAAGTCCACAACCCTGGGCATATGCTCTGACTAGGGATCTTTTGGTGCACGGGACAACATTCAATTAACTGAGCCACACTGGCCTGAGCTACCACATCCTTTAAAATCTACCACCTTTAAATAAAGTGATGTAAAACTTTTGAGATTTCCCTTATATTTAAAAAACGAGTTGAAAGGGGAAAATAATAATATGTACATATAAAAAGCGATATAATTACCAATGAATAATTGATAACAGATGCATAAATCCTTTACCCACAGCATGAACTTAGAAACACTGAGAAGTCATCTATCTATATAAAAGCTTAAGTGACCGTTGTGGACCGATCAACTGGTAGCTACGACGAACACTGACCACCAGGGGGGAGACGCTCCCCGGAGGGGCTTCCCCTTGGTGGTCAGGGGACTCCCACAGAGGCAGCACCACTCAGCTGACCAATGGACCTCTGACATCAGGTTCATGGCTGGTGACCTAACCAAGTGGTGGCCCAGCACCTGGCCCAGGCTTGGGCTCCTTCCAGGCTGCCTGCCATGGCCTGATTCCTGAAGTCCACACCGAGGGACCTCTCCAGTGCATAAATCCATGCATTGGGGGTCTAGTTTAATATAAGGTTGAAGTGAAACCATAAGGCATCCAAATTCTAATCTCAGCCTAGGCACTTTTCGGCTAAGTGAAAGTAGCCAAAATACAATTCTGATTTTTTTTCTCCTCTATTCAAAGGAAATAAAGATACAGTGCCTACAACACAGTATATAGTCAATAGTTATATTTATTAATACAACTCAATCTGCCTCTTTAAAATGTAACTTAACCATCAAGCACATGTGTATAGTTTCAAAGCTAGTCCAGTTCTTAAGAGTATAAAGTCCTAGCCCTGGCCAGGTGGCTAAGTTGGTTGAAGCATAGTCCATTACAGCAAAAGGTTGTGGGTTCGATTCTCAGTCAAGGCACATGCCCAGGGTTGCGGTTTCAATCCCTGGTTGGGTGTGCTTGGGAGACAACTGATTGATGTTTCTCTCTCACTTTGATGTTTCTATGTTTCTCCTCTCTCTCTCTCTCTTTCTCTCATCTATTTCATCAATAAAAACATATACGTGGGTAAGAATTTTTAAAAAAAACAAAAATAAAAAGAAGGTATAGTCAAGATGTGATATAGTAGGCAAGGATAGAGGTCAATTCTGTACAGTTCCATTTTCCATGTCAGTGATCTCACTGATCATTCATTTCTCTAAACTTGTTACTTCACTGGTAAAATGGGAATAATACCTGTTGCTCTAATCTATTGTAAAGATTTATAAAATCTTTAATTATAAAGTGCTGTATTAAAATATAGATTAAGCCTTTACCTTTTTTAATTTGAAAACTAAAATATAGAAGATTAAAAATTCTTTGTTAGGATTTTGAAATCATTTATAATTATTATCCCTTAGCCCACAGGCCAATTGTTTTACTATTATCTCAAAGAACATTTGAACAGTAAGAGAAAGTTTATGATCACTGTTCTGACCTGAAGACATTTTAATACAACTCAATTATAACAGAGTCTTTTATTTTGTGTGTGTGTTTTGTTTTAAAGTAATTTAATATCCATTTTTGCTTCATAAACACCCAAATTTCCATGGGAGAACACTGTACAATGTTTCAGAATTTCAGTAAAGAAGACTTGAGGCATTATCCTCCAATGTCAGCACATATGCACAGAGAAAAACAAAACTGCTTTCCCTTAAGAACCTGAGGTATTTTAATCTCCTGAACTCACATCTGAATTAACAAAAAATGAAGTTTAGTCTACTTTTAATGTTTACTTGTATTTTCCTCAAATATTTTTAAAATAATATTGTACTTTAAAAAAAGGATAATTTATACACATTAATAAAAATGTCATAAGAAATGTACTATGTCATACTCAATTAACTTGACATTTCAACCATAATATTTCATTTCTTATATTCCAGAAGATAACATAATTCACATTCATTAAGTATTTAATGAATGCCTACTATGTCACAGATTAAAGTGTCAGTTAAAAGTGGAGATAAGATGAAAAACGTGGTTTCTGACCTAAAGAACTTCCAGGTTTAGGGGGAAGACATATTTACCCTACAATTTGATAAGTACTATAATGGAAGTACAAACAAAGCAAAACAAACACTCTAGGACAAAGAGAGTGAAGGGTGCAAATAACTGGGGGAATCAGAAAAGACTTCAGAAGCAATAGACACAGGATTCTGGGTGTGTGCAAACTGTACACATTAAGATTATGAAGAAAAATATTTATATATTCTGAAAATAATAAGCCCTATTTCCCTGAGTAAGTTAAATGGAGAAAGCTGACCAAAGATGAGGCAGGAGGGATGTGTTGTGAAGTTGAGGTAAATTCTTTAATATGTCAATGGCACAAACTTAAGACTCCTGAGTGGCAATACAGAATTACCAGTTAGGAAATCATTCAAACAGGCAACGATAATTAAAACATTAACTAAGGGCAGGGACAGAGTAACAAAATTCTAAGTATTATTCTTAGTTCTCTATCTCTTTCCTGATTAACATGACTAGGAATTTATTTCCTCATACATACAAACAGACAAATTCAAACTTCATTTTTCCAACTTACTCTTCCAATGTATATGGAAACTTTAATAGTACCAAGTAAACATGAATTTTCTGACCAACATAATTGTTCAATTATTCTGAGGAATTATAGAAAACTACTTTTTGGCTGATCTTCATTTTTACTTATAATAAGTATAGTGATATTTTAAGAAACAAAAAAAACCCCTCTACACAGCAAATATTTTACATAAATGTTACACGCACATCCATTTCATAATTAAGCAAAATAAATAAACTTTTAAGCATGAAATTTTTTAAATCATTAAAAAATAAGACAATAAACACAAAACAAAATTAACAGAAGCAACGAAAATACACATTTCATAAAGCTTCAGTTGGTCTTGTCTCCCACCCTACTGGTTAAAACCTGAATCTTGTAAAACCCTACCTTCTTTGCCAAACAGAAACCTCCGATTTGACTATACCTAATATATATCCATATAACAGATAATTAATTTTAAAACCAGAAGGACATTCATTCACTTGTAAATTAATATAAAAATTATTCCCTATGCAAAGTGAATACTAGAAAATAGAAGAACTGTGCTGCCACAGAAGATCAATAGCCTGGTTTAAAGTACCCCTGGGTTTGATGTGAATTAGATGTAAGTATATAAACAACTTAAATTAACCAAAAATATTAAACCCCTTCCCAGACAAATGATTCATTTTTCTTATTTATAATATTAAAATGAAATGATGGGATTTAATTTTAAAGTCATATTGCATATTTATAATTGAAAATTTAAAAAATAATTATTTCAGGTAGGTCAGTACAAGGACCTACAAATATTTGCAGAACTTTAAATCTGCAAATAATTACCTGACATATTTCACCAATAAATCCAGTAACTAATCTGTTCTAAATGGTCAATTTTTTTTAAGTTTTTAAAATTTCAGTTAAGTAATTCTAATTTTTACAACTTATTTCAGATAATTTTCCATTATTCTCTTCAATAGACCCAGCATTCAATATTCAATAATTATCTTTAAAAGGTAAATATGGCCTTGGACAGTGTGGCTCTGTTGTTTGAGCATATCATCCCAGGTACCAAAGGTCACTGGATTGATTCCAGATCAGGGCACATGCCTGGGTTTTGGGCTCTATCCCCAGTAGGGGAGGTGCAGGAGGCAGCTTGATGTTTTCGCTCACAATTTTTCTATCTCCCTCTCCATTTCTCTTTCTCTCTCTCTCCCTCTAAAATCAATAAGACATATTAAAAGAAAAAAGTAAATATGTACCTTGACTACACATAATTATTAAGTATTACAGAAAGATAACTGCTGAAAACCTATTCACTAATACTGACAAGAAGAGGGAAGTAACATACAGACTTACTGGTATTAAACTTTAAAACCTCTCTTGAAATAGCACATGACTATATTGATTCAAGTATCATGAATTAAAATGATTTTATTACTATATAGCATAAGATCTTCCTTTAAACATCACATTAAGACAAAACTTTTATAGATTTTTGCCAATATTAACAAGAAAGCTTTTATGATACAATTTAAAAATTGGATTAAGATAAATGCATTTAGTCTTAAAAATTAATTTTCCAATACTTTAAAATTTTTTACAAGTGAAATTTTATGCAAAATTCCAATATAAAAGAACAGATAAAAAGCAAAGCAGAACTCTGGTTGCCACAAGGGTGGGCTCAAGGATACCCTCCCCCAGTCTCCCCTAGGCAGACCTGAAGCACCTCTGTGGAATGCCAAATAACCAATCTTCTAAGCCCCTGTGACAAATGAATTATAAAATATCTGTTACCAAGTAAAGCGAGAATTCTTATGGAAGCAATTTTCAAACATTTAAAATCCATTAAAATTTCTTGAAAACAGACTTTGAACAATGAAGACAGTAGATCTGCATAATATATCCTTATATTAGAAATTCATTTTACATTTTAATCAAACATAAAATCAAGCAGCAAAAAACCCACAGTTCAATTATTTAGACCAAATAAACTTTTCAAACTTATCTGATCATAAAGACATTGTGGGGGTAATATCTACTACACCTCATTATTTCTCGAAAAGGTTGGAAAACACTGCCATAAGGGATATTAACTGAGGCCACTGTATGGCCCCAAATAGAATACTGTGTTTCTTTTAAAACTTATACTACAATTGTACAACAAATAATCTTCCCATCTTTCATAATTTAGGTGGAAAGTAAATTTATAGATTATAAAGTAGATTACATAAATATGAAATGAAATTTTACATTCATAAGAGTAGCCAAATTTCCATAGATTTTATCACCCATTTTTCTTCTTATTTATTTATTCTCTCCCAACATATGCTAGGACTGCAGATCAACAGACAGAAGAGAGTGGTTAAAGAAACTATTAAGAGGTTAAACATAACCATGGCTCTCCACAGTCTTAAAAATAATTCCACACCCCACAAAATGGGAACTACTTTTTGTTCAGTTTGCTTTAAAACTATAACATTGTGTAATAACATTTGGTTCCTTGTTCTTTCAGTTTTAAAAAACTAGAGGTTAAGGTTTCAAGGTACATTTTTTCACATATCTTTCTTTTTAAGCAAAAACAAAAGCAACTTCATTCTAGAATGTTCTCCCTAAAGAAAATGATTAATGAAAAATTTTACATCTAAATTATTCCTAGATATATATACATCCCTAACCGGTTTGGCTCAGTGGATAGAGCATCGGCCTGTGGACTGAAAGGTCCCAGGTTCGATTCCAGTCAAGGGCATGTATCTTGGTTGCAGGCACATCCCCAGTGGGGAGTGTGCAGGAGGCAGCTGATCTATGTTTCTCTCTCATCAATGTTTCTAACTATCTCTCTCCCTTCCTCTCTGTAAAAAATCAATAAAATATATTTTAAAAATAATAAATTATTCCTATATATAAATTTACATTTGTGAATAATTCAAACACACAAGAATTTCAAAAACCAACAATTATTTGATTTGTTGAAATTCTCCATGCCTACAATATAGAAGTGTTTATAAAGTCTTAATTATTTTATTTATATTTATTTATTCCCTCCATTACCAAGTTAAATTAAAACTTTAACTATCGGTAAAATTCAAATAGGAATGCCTCCTAAAGAAGAAAACACTACATTTAACCAAAAATTTCAGGCACAAAGTAGTCTTTTCCCACAAATTTCTAGCTAATTAAACCTTGTGATTTGCTTTAGCTACAAAGATATGACAGTGACATTAAAAGATTAAATTCTTTCAACATTCCAAAAAAAACACACTACAACATATACTACTAATGTTCCATGTTCAAATCTTTATATTTCATTATCTAGTTTCAGCTGTCTATAATTTTTAAAGAACTCTTTTGTGTCATAAACCTGCAACTGCTATTAAGGTACACTACATTAATTCATGTTATTGTTAGTCTCATTCAACTAATCATCTATTTGAAAAATCAATTTATACTAATATAAGTTTAGTTCCCTAAATATGAACTGTCAGACTTACCTGATTTGTCTGGCTACTTAAGTATGGCTCAAAATCATCATCATTTACAGCATCTTTTTGATGAATGGAACCGTTTTGTACTGAAACTAAAAAATATAATTGTATTAGGTGTGTTGTAATCATCATTATGAGAATCACAGAATAACCTAACTAACACTTTCAGTATTTTTCAAATCAAGTCACAAAAAGTTATGCTGAGGTCTTTCTTTTTTTCACCTAAACACTCTTAAGATTAATTTAATTTTGGATACAAATATTTGTGCTACCAAAAAGTTACAAATCTTATATTGATATGCCTAAGATTAGAGAAATACAAATTATATATACACTTTCGATTACCAAAATCATAAAGTAAATATTCCAATTTCAACACTGTAGTAAGCAAACAGTTAAATTTCAAAATGTTGGAAGGGTTCGCTAATGCTATATTTGAATCTAAGTTACCACTTCAAATAGTGTTGCAGATCTCTGAATGTTCTCTAACTTTTGTTAAATTAAATCTATTACTTAGTCCAAAAAAGGTAAAGAACTTTTTGATAACTAAAGTTACAATAAATATCTTAAATGTTTCCAATTTTTTAAAAGTGACTAAAATTAACTTGAACCAATATCACAATGAATAAATTATGAAAAAATTCTAAATTAAAATTACAAAGACTTTCACATGACAATACAAATAAAATTCAGACACTAAAGACAGCTATGATTACTCTTGCAACACACAGGAAAACCAATCAGAAGAACTTATAATGCCATATTTGTCCAGAGACCATTTCCATAAATGCTCTATAGTTATTCTCTTGATACTGTGTGCTTTTGAGCAAACTTGAGGTACGAAGATCCTGGGTTTGAATCCTAAGTCCAACACTGAGAAGTTGGGTGATCGATCTCTCATTAGTGACTTAGTTTTTTTAACTCTACTTTTCTGTTCAAAGAGGATGATAATAGTACCTATCCACCTCACCTCAGAGTATTCAGTAACAGTATTCAATAATCTTGAATATTACATAAAATATTACAAGATCCAGTTAGGATTACAATTTATTTTAGGACCACAGAAGTTTACCAGGCTAAAATTTGCTGTGCCGCCTATGAAAATACACTATTCCATACTATTTAGATATAAACAGTTGAACCTTTCTGGTGGATATTAACTGATGTTATAGAAACAAAAACACCCTTAATATCTGGGTATTTATTACTTAAAATAATGTCACAAAATATTATAAAGTAATGTCAGGGGCAATGAATTTAAGGAGTGTTCCTTTATAACAGCATACCATTTTAATTTTTCTTAATTTGAGTTAAAATTACCTATAATGTAATCGCAAACTGACAATGACATGGGAACAAAACTAGGTGATAGCCCTTGGTTCTTTGCCTCCCACTAAGCAGCAATGACAACTCAAAAAAACAATGCTATATTGTGAAGCCTTCAAAGTAAACATTCATTGCCCCTTAAAGGCTGCAAGAGAAACCTGATGGTCAACTTGATCCACTGAGGTAGTTTAACTCTATATAATAAAGATAGCACAATAGCCAAGGTTGAGCTAAATGCGCTCCCCAGATTTTAAACAGGGTAACAGCTAATATAAATGAAAATAAAGAGATGGGTACCTTGGGCCATTTCTGGTGGGCTAATCATGTCAGCCCAAGAGATTCTAACATACCGGTTTGCCCTTTACCACTCCTTTATCTTTATCAAAGATAGCAATGCATAATGCATTACCTCTTGAAAAATAATTCTTTACTATACTTTTGGACTATTACACTCATACTATTAATATCTATTTGAAACAGTCTCCCATTTCAAATCACAACCATCTATTTCCTGTATTTGTTAGAGTCTCACAAATTCAATCCACACTGCTAATGTGGTAAAAAGTGCCTGCTTAAACTTTATCCAAATACATATTAAACTGCTGTTCTTATTTCCTCTGTTCTATCCTTTCTCTTCTTGTAAGAGACTGAGACTAAGAACAAAACATTCACACACAGTAAGTAGTCTACAATCATTTATAAGTGATGCATAAATGTCTAAGAAATTTTAAAAGACTACTCAAGGAGTTTGTCAAAGGAAATGTTTAATTAAATGTATTTTATGCATACTGACAAGTAATTTGCATTCAATTAAAATCTGAATAAGAAGCGAGCCTTTGAGTTTCATAAGCATACATTTAAGAAATTCCACTGTCTTAAAGACTTTGGTTTTTGAACATTACTTAATCACAATTTAATGTCTTGGAGACTGAGAGCCATTAAATAGTAATGAAATCTAAGCTAGTTCCATAGTCTGTACAAGTTCTTCAGGGAAAAAAGAACAGATGACTTACATGATTCTTCGCTTGTTTCCTCTGCTCTATGAAGCAGAGTCAAATCAAGATAGAACATGGGCCTTAGGAGCCAGGTGATTCTTTGCTCTGGTCTGACTACATCAAGTTAGGAAAGTCAACAGATCTGTGCATCATGTTTTCCCACCTACAAAAACAGTGACAATACCATATACCCTCTATCTCCTTATAGGAATGTTTTGAGGATTAATAATAAAGCCTAAAATGACAGTTAAGTGCTTTGCAATCATTTCCAGAGGGGATATTGGAGATGTTACAAAAGAATATTGCCAAAATACAAGGCATTTTTTCAACTATTTTTCTGAAACGCTAAAAAATAGCTCAGTTTAACCTACATCTTTGACATTTGACATTGCAGTTGCACCAAACAATGTTGGGAGGGTAAGAGAGAGAAGTAAAGATAAATTACTTTCAATATATCTACCTATTTATAAACTTAAGGAATAGAAGAAGCAAGCAGTAAGGCCTGAGGGCTACTAGGAGCATGGGATCTGCCTCTTTCTCTGCAGTGCCTGCAGGAAAAGGAGTAATACACTTTGATTCCAGCAAGCAAAAATCCTTCTTGTAAAAAAATAAAAGCGATATAAAGTAAGTTTTAAATTATGGACCAATAGGTAAATAATCATCTTTAAATTTCTACTACCCTTCACCATGGCCAATAATAATAAAAACAATTCTAATATTTAACAGAGTATACGATAGATGAATTTAAAAGGATTCAAACTTATAAACAAATAAACCTAGACTTTAGACAACAAAAGCATTTTGCCTTACAAAGACATTGCTATAAAATTCCCTTAAAATTTTAATTTTAGTTCCTTTAGTGCATTTATGTCATTAAAGATATATAGAAAAACAATTAGCAGAAAATCAAAGACAAAAAGGCCAGTTATAAAGCCAATGCTGTTGACTAACAATAATTTAGAGAAACACAGCATCTCTGAAATCATATGAACTGAAAAGGATCCTGCTTTCAAAACTCTGATACCTCCTCAGGACATGTATTTTTCATAAGTTCTAAATTGAAGTTTAATACTAATGTTTTCCGAATACTGAGGCTCTAAGTCAAAGAAAAATAACTTCGCTTTCTGCTTCATAAAGATAAACAGAATAACTGTAAAACAATTTCATAGCTTGAAAACCAAGTCAGCTAAGGCAGACTAGTTTTCTCACATATACTACTGAGTAAGTTCACTTGGGGGTGCCTTCTCCTTGTAATTTTTATGCAGAGGCATAAATACAACTAATGTATATGTGTATATTTCCCTTGTAGTATCTACCATTTTAAGATATCTTAAGTGGCCAAAACCGGTTTGGCTCAATGGATAGAGCGTCAGCTTGCAAAATGAAAGGTCCCGGGTTCAATTCCAGTCAGGGGCATGTACCTGGGTTGCAGGCACATCCCCAGAAGGGGATGTGCAAGAGGCAACTGATGGATGATTCACTCTCATCGATGTTTCTAATTTTAAAAAAGATATCTTAAGTGACTACCAATACTTTTAGGAGGGTAGCATTTTTCTCTCCTGCGGTATCTTAGGCAATAGTCTTCCTGCATCTTAAAAATACCAGTAAGATGAATTGAGGCCCTGGCCAGTGTGGCTCAACTGACTGTTGTCTGTGCACATGCTCCAGGTGTTGCACATGCTCCGGGGTTGCCACTTTGAATCCCAGGTCCAGGTGTGTCCAGGAGGATCTCTCTCTCTCTCTCTCTCTCTCTCCCCCTCCCTTCCTCCCTCCCTGGCTAAAATTAATTAAAAAAGTATTTAAAAAATAGGTGAGGAAGTAAAAAGAAACTCAGCAGATATAACTGCTAAAGCAGTGGACTACTGTAATTATAATCCTCATATAATATATTTACATACTTTATGACTGGAATTACTCATTCTTTTTTATAGAGGGGAAATTCTGATTAAAAGATGCACTGTGTTCAAGCTCACTTGGCAAGTCAGTGGCCATAAGCAGTATTAGAACACAGATCTCCTAGGTAACCACCGAGTCCATGCTTCTATCCATGAACAAGATTATGAACTGAATAATAAAGGAGAAAGAAAATTTCTTGGCATAAAGAACTATCCAAATAAATGTTTTGTACATGTACCTAAATACACCTAACAAAGGTGACACTAATAGATTAAAACAATGTTAATAACAAAAAAAAATATTTATGACCAATATGCAATATTACTTATATATAATTTATATCTATAATATAAAAAATGTCAGTAGGACATACTTAAGTGAAATGTGACTATGTTGTAAATAAAGTTTATAGTAATGACTTATTCAATAAATTTTCTATTTTGTTTTGACAAAAAAATACTTCATAGAACTTGCATACTTACCTTACAGCAGATTAACACAAAACACTTAGCATTTCAAATAGCCTTGCAAAGTGCCACCTCCCCAAAGATCTAGGATAAAATAGCTTATGCTAGGCAATAATGGGAACAAACTTCACATATCTCCAACTCTACATACCTCCTAATGGGAAGACTAGCAAAAACAAGTAACAGACCATGCTTTTTAAGTTTACAAAAAGTTTTTTAAAACTCACTTAAAATAAATTAACTATATCAAATTCTGAGGTTTATAGTCACAACATAAAAAAAATCTAAAATTAAAAATTAAACTCTAAAAATTAAATTCTAGAATTTAAAATTTCTAAATGTATATATACTCCAAGAAAATTTATCTTAATCAAAACAAAACAATAAATTATTACTTACTACAGTGCCAAATATCTGGAATGCATAAATTCTCAAATGAATTGTACAAATCAAAGAAAATTAACTAAGCTGTGTACACAGTACCTATTCCTTTCAAATTTGCTATAGCAAATAACCTGAATCGAAAGAGCATCATAAAGAGATTGAAGTGCATCTAAAAGCTATCGTAGATCTTATTTTCTAGGTAATACTTTGCTTCTAAAAGAAAAAAAAAAAAAAAAAACAGGAAGCATAACCATGTTTAGTGTAATTTCAGGTCCTATTACAAACTGTCAATAAACATATCATTCACTGTAATGTTATTTAATTGGCACTGTCCCAAGAAAGCAGTTATTGTTCCATACTCACAAATGTCACATGACCAATGCCATGTTTCAGTCAGCTGACTGAACTGTTCCATATTAGTAAATACACACTTATCTTTTTAAAAATGCTTTATTTTCAGCAGTACTTTCTTCTTCAAAAACTAAATTGTAAATCACATAACCAACTATCTCCTTCACCGTCAGTCCTTTCTAACACCCCAGATTGAGTCCCACCTTGCAATCAGAACCACATAGAGAGATAACATGCCTGCTGGGCTCTGATCTCTAGCACAACTGACTTCAATGGAATCAATGATTAACAGTACAATTTGCACTAATGTGACATGGAATGCTATGGGGTTGCATGTTCCAAAGTAACCTAGACATGACAAACAAAATCTCCACTTATCTACATATATAAAGTTACCCAATACGGGCAAATTGAAAAAAAAATTTTTTTAAACGTTACTATGTTCAAAACTCTACCGCCTGAACTGGAATACAACCAAGTGTAACACTGTTTTTTAAACCACTTTGCTTTCTATAAAATTGGCCTCAAAGCAAGGACCTACAGAAGTTCTGGGAGAGCATTGGGCTGCCTTAGCCATGATGAATCGTTTCTCCAACCCTACATTTAAAAAAAAAAAAAAAAAAGGGGGGGGGGTGTGTGTGTGTGCGCAAAAACAAACAGAAAGACCCTCACACCGTTTTAGAAAAATAATAACAACATGGAACCAACATGGATGAGTGAGATAAGCAATATCCAAACTCACCTTTATTTCCTTGCCCTTTAGGTCTCTGTAGCAAGACGAAAGGTGTCGTAACGTGAAGAGGGGGAGGGAAAAAAAAGAAAAGAAAAAAAAGAAAAGAGGGAAAGTGTCTTAATCGAAGGCGCTATCCAAGACAAGTTATTTTCAACAATCCGCGTAGGAGTGAAAGCCACCCGATCCTCCCAGGCCCCCCGATTCCCCTACCACCCCCACCCCCCCGTCTTTACACCTACTCCCGCCACTCAGGGCCCTTCTCCCGGGCCCGCCGGGCCCAGCCCAGCCCCGGCGGCCGCCTCGGGATGCGCCCCGAGGCCCGGCGAGCAGCCGGTCCCCCCCCCCCCCCGCCCCGCAGCCCGCGGCCTCCCGCCGCCGCCGCAGACCCGGGGCGGCAGGCGGCCCCGCGGCCACAGGCGCCCGCCCGGGGCACCGTTATGGGGCCGGCGGCGGCGGCGGCGGCGGGGAGGAGCCGAAGCCCCACGCGAGGGTGGAGCTCCGAGCTCGGGCCTTCGCCGAGCCTGAGGCCTCGGCTCCCTCACCTGATCCACGCTAGTGGCTGACATTCTTCACCGCACCCGCGAGCCGCCGCCGCCGCCGCCTGGGCCTCTCCCCGTGCACTCACAGCAGTTGGAAGCCGCCCTCCGCCGAGTGGACCGTGCCAGCCGCCGCCGCCGCCGCCGCTCGCAGAAAAAAAAAAAAAAAGCCGGCACGATGGCCCCGGCACTCGGGAGAGTCGGTGGCAGGGGCCCGTCTCTTCCGCTTGCACGCTCGTCTTCCCCGCTCGCTCTCCGCGCTTCTCGGGGCCACAATGGCGGACAGGCTCCCCTGGTCTCACTTCCGCTCCGAGCCTCCCTGACCTTCCGCTCTCCACTCTGACGTCCGAGCTCACCTCGCGCTTCCGCCTCCCCCGCCTCCCGCCACCGGCCTGGGGGCTCCGCCTCCGCACGCCACGTCACCGGAGACCGGAGCAGCCGCGCGCCGGGCCCTGCGCGCATGCGTCACGGAGCGTGCGCGCCTGCGCGGCTGCGGGCGTTCCCCCCCCCCCCCCCTTCCCGAGGAGCTTCCACAACTTCCTTTTGCGCTGCCCCGAGCGTGCGGGGTGGGCGGCGTCGGCGGCGGCGGCAGCGGGATACTGGGCTACAGCCGGCTTCCGGTTTTCTCTGGCCGGAAGTGGGCCCGGGCGGGAGGCGCGGCTGTCGGGGATGTAGTAGAGCCGGGTCGGCGGCGGCGGGGTGAGCTTAGGCTGGTCGGAGCGCCCTCGCGCTGAGCGAACAGCGGTAGCCGGGCCTCCCCGGGAACCTGCGGAGACTCCAAAGCCACGTGCGTGGCCCGGTGAGTCAGCCGCCCTCCAGGACATGCTTGCTGGGCCGTGGGCACGAGCCGGCACGTGCAGCGAAGTGGCTGGGGTTGGAGCTCTGGCCTCTCTTGACCCCCAAAAGCCAGTAGGAGGTGAGCCTGCAAGTGTTGGGTCGCCCCAAACCCCAGCCACGGGATAGGAATGTCTCCCCAATTCACCAGGAAGCTGCGGAGCCGACTTGGCCACTCAATTCATGGACTTGTGTTCCCCTCCTGAGATGTTAGGTTGATTATGAAGAATAAAGTTAACTTCGGTAAAGATAAGAATCCTTGCTTCGTCCTAAAAGGAGATATTGTTTAACAGTAATCGGTAAAGTCACTTTTCTGGAAACTGGCAAAAACCAAAGCACCGATATGCGACGTTTCGATATGTGTTGAAATAACATCTTGGCAATCAAGGCAAAGATGCCTTGCCTAACAGGCGGGATGTGGACTCTATATATAAAGAAACAATTTAAATGACTAAATTCTCCCAAAGCCATCAAATAGGTGATAATTTAGAAAGTATACAGTTGCTGAGTTGTTGGATTCATTTTGTGGTTGACAAAGCAACCAGATTTTGGAAACACTGAATAATAATAATTCTGGAACTTTGGGGATCAGCTATTTCATAGCCATCACCAAGAGGCACTTTCGGGTCTGGTCAGCTTCCCAGCAGTCCCATTTTGCCACATGTCCCAGGGACTCACTAATTTTCAATTCAGGCCCCGCGCTCTTGCCATTTCCCAAGACTTCCCCACCCTTCCAGTTGCTGATCTTAATCTTTCCAGTCTGCCCTGTTGCATTCCCATACAGACCTTTGATTGATGGATCGGTTTTCCTCACCTGAGGACATGCTTAAAGGAATGGAATCCACTGATAGAGCCAGTCTGGCTGGTCCCCTACAGACCTGTTTAGGTTGAGAGAATTGGCTACTCCAGGACATGTTTGGGGGGGGGGGGGGGGGGTTTGAAATCATATAAAAGGAAGTTTGTGAAATTTTTCAGGCCATGTCTTTGATTCTTAATTAAGTTAAAAAGCATGGTTTTGGAATCCAACCAATCTGAATTCTGGCTGGGCTAGAATTAATTATAAAACCTTGGGAAAGTCATTGAAATTTTCCAAGCCTTCGTTTACAATTAGTAAAACAAAGGTCAGATATGTATAATTCCTGGCATAGAGTAAGCTTTCAACCAGTAGAGGTTATACAGGACTAGTGTCTGGCTTCACTGCTAAATAATTTCAGAATGGTGGTAGAGCTTGCATTCATTCAGTGTTCATGATGTTTGGCACTGTAATAATCGTGTCAGTCCTCATAGCGTCCTTGTGTGTTAAGTGCTGTTATAGAAAACTGACACACATTGAGGTTAGGGAACATGCTCAAAATAGCACAGCTAGTCACTGTGAGAACCAGGATTGGAACCCAGGCAATCTGGCTTCAGAGCTTGCACTCTAGCCACCACATAATGCTGCTGCCTGATGGCATGATGTTCTGGTGAGTTTCTGTTCACTTTCACTCTTGCCCCTCAGCCTCCTTTCTTGTCTTGTCCTTTCTTCTTGTGAGTTCTGAACTTGCACAATGGAGCGCTAATTGCATGAGATATAAACCCATTTCATTTAATATTAAATACTTTTTCAAAGCACACCTGGGAAATACCTAACGTCATCTCCACCACATTGTTCTCATATGAGGTCTAATATGTGGGCGATATTTTGGGAGAGGCTGACCTAGAGATTAGACAGAATTTCACTCTTGCACAGGCCACTGGTGTATCAGCCCCCTGATGAGCACAGCACTGCTCCGAGCTTGGAAAGGAGAGGGCAGACTGCGTTTACCCTTCCATGGCTCTGTGCCTTTATCCAGTGATTCTGTACAACTCTACCCAGTGGCCCTGTGTTTCTGCATGACTCCCTGTATCAGACCAAATTAGGTTCACGCAGGTAGTCAGTCCAAGGCTTGGGCTGCTGTCACAGTATCAGGTATTGGGCTTCCAGCCTCTTGCCCCACCATCCTCATACCATTTCCCCCAGGACAAGATGGTTGCCCAATCTCCAGCCCTCATAATCACATTCCTACCTGGGAAATGAAAGATGAAGACCCCTAACCGGTTTTGGCTCAATGGATAGAGCATCCTCTCTGTAAAAAAAAAAATTAAGTAATATATAGCCCAAACCGGTTTGGCTCAGTGATAGAGCGTTGGTCTGTGTACTAAAAATCAATAAAATATATTTATATAAAAAATAATAATAATAATATATAGCCCAAATCGGTTTGGCTCAGTGGTAGAGCGTTGGTCTGTGGTCTGAAAGGTCCCGGGTTTGATTCGGGTCAAGGGCATGTACGTTGGTTGCGGGCACATCCCCAGTGGGAGGTGTGCAGGAGACGACTGGTCGATGTTTCTCTCTCATCGATGTTTCTGGCTCTCTCTCTCTCCCTTCCTCTCTGTAAAAAATCAATAAAATATATTTTTAAAAAATAAATAAAAATAAAAGATAATATATAGAGGGAGAGAAAGATGAACAAAGGCACATCACTTTCACTTCCCTTTAAGGACATTTTATAATTTCTTCCTACCTCCTGCTAAATTGTCCCAGCCGTAAGAAAATACCTAGTTGAAGGAAATGTGAAATTATATCCTGGTATGTTCTAGGTTACCATTTGCTCAGGTGAAAGTCAGAATGTTTAGCACTGAAGAAGACTGGAACAATAGATGATGAGAGATCAATATTAAACTTCATTTTCTCACAACATAGACTGGGTTTATGGATCTTGTAAAGGCACTTTGAAACCTAAGGAATGTAACTTTATGCAAATAAAGCCTTTTTCCACATCTCATTCTCCCATGGGGGTTTCTGAAAACATTTCAGAAATAAGAACTCCAAGAACCTCATTCTCACCAGTGGTGGGGAAATTTAATTCTCTGGTAACACTTTCTCCCAGATTTATATTATTATTTAGGTTATATAACCCAGTATTGTCATTGTTTTGTTGTTTAAATTGTTTCAAGCTTTGGCGCTGGAGAAAATGCTATTTTTATGTCTTTTTGACATGCCCCCATTATTTTTTTTTTCCAGCCTCCCACTTTGGAGCTCATTTCATTCATTCTCATGTTTTGTCCAAGAAATTTACAAAGACATGGCAACTTCCTAATCCAGCCTCATCATTTCTCACCTTGACTAATGCCTCTGAGCTGCTTGCATGTTCTCCCATCAGCCATCCTCCACCCTGCTGCCACTGGTTAGATCGTGTTGCCCTCCTTCCCTCCTTAAAACCCTTCAGCTGCCCTTCACCTAGAGCAGTTGTCTCCACATGTCGTTCCACTCATACCCTGAAACAGAAAAGCAATTCTGAGCACCATTCCCTATACAGCAAATTTTATACTTTATAATTTATGGTTTGCATTATAAATTACATCATGAGAAAAATTAAAATATAAAGTAAACCTAAAATTACAAGTTTTCTTACACTCAAGAGGACTGAATTGATCACACTCACTTTGTAGACTTCTATAACTTCTCATGGTCTCCTCTCCAAATCCCATACACATATGCCCCTACTTTCTAGCTGCACTCTATCACTTAGATTTTCTCAACATACCAAACTCATTCTTGACTCTGTATCTTTGCACAGGTTGTTGCTTCTGCCTGGAAATCTTTTTACACTCCCATTCCCCTGAGTCCTCCTTTTGAGAAACTCATTCACCCTTCAGGGCTCATTTAAATTACTATCCTCAAGGATATCTTCCTGGCTCCTCCCAGAGAGGGTCAGATAGTGGGTGCCATTTATGTTGCCCAGGGCCTTTACTAGTCTTTTAGCTCCTTGAGGATAAGGACCAAGTATTCAATTTTTCTGTCATAGTACTCAGCACATAGTATATCATTACTATTCAATTGAAAATAACTTGACCAAAGGTAGTTTGGTGGACAGCAAGCCAGACAACATGTCATTTTGATTATGTGAGTGGGTTTGTAATGTTTTATGAATCTTTAAAAATTGTTGTCCATCCCCAGCACTGTCCTCCCACCCTCACTGCCCCCCCCCCAGGACAAGATTGTACTTGTTTTATACTAATTTATTTTCATCTAACTTTTTGAAAAAATATAGATTAAGCTTTAGTTGATTTTAGAGAGATAGGAAGGAGAGAGAAAGAGAAACATCAATCTGTTGTTCCACTTGTTTATGCATTCATTGGTTGATTCTTGTATGTGCCCTGACTGGGGATCAAAC